GGGATCAAAACATCAGGGACTTCACCCTTGGTGCGCAAGGGGAAGACCGTGGTGTAACGCGTGTAGTCGTCCACGACCAGCAAAAAGTACCGCTCGCGGTCCTGTCCACGGACGCGGGCTGGGCCCCTCACGTCCATGTGGAGAGTCTGCAGGGGAGCAGTCGTCGGGGGAAACGAGGAGGAGTGAGGAGCGGCGCGCTGCCGCCCCTCGACACAGGGAAGACAGGGAGGAGCAGGCGAGGGTGGGAGGGGAGGGAGAACCCTGGGAAGACCAGAGACAAGGAGACGTCGGTGCATGCCACGAAGGCGCTGCACCGAGGGGTGACCAAGACGGTGGTGCCAAAGGACGGTCTAGTGCGACAGAGCGCGACAGGAGCAGGGGGCCGCTAGCTGACCTGACGCATACGCAGATGCAGACGCAGCTACCTGAGGGGACACAGTAGTCAGTGTGTACAGACTCGAGCCAGGCGCTTGGGTGAACGTGGCCAGGTGCCGACCAGTCCGGGAGCACGTACAGTGGGTCACACGCTGACCTCCAGGAGTGAACTGGTGAACCCACACATCCTGGAGGTCAGCTCCACTCACCAAGTTCATAGAGAACGAGGGGAGGTGAAGACCTGACAGTGAGCCAGACGGAACCGCCGGACACGGCAGAACCGTGGAGGAGTGCGCAAGGACTGGGCCCCCAGAGGGGTCCGCCAGGGAGACTGCAACCGGCCGACTGAGCGGCGTGAGTGTGGTGCTGTCGCGAAAGAAGGAGCGGGAAGCACCTGAGTCAAGTGTGAAGGTGCACAAGGCCTCAGCAGGCGCAGTACCAGAGAGAGCAGACTCACCAGCACCTGGAGCAGTAGACTCACTAGCACCTAGAGCAGCAGCCTCACCAGCACCTAGAGCAGTAGACTCACTAGCACCTAGAGCAGCAGCCTCACCAGCACCTGGAGCAGCAGACTCGATACCTGGGTCAGGCGGTACACACAGGTAACCGGCACCTTCAGCACTAGTAGGCAATGCATACATGGCAGTGAGGATAGCATCATTGTCAAGAGCAAAGATATCCACCCTCTGCCTAAGCAGCTCCACCCAGCTGGGGAGCTCAGCCTCGTCGCCAAACTCGGTACGCCAGGCGTCGCTCAGACAGGCGAAGCAGCGGGACTGTGTGTGACCAAGCGTCCCGCAAGTCTGACCAGCCCGATCACCTGTGCGAATGACGTACGGGCAACGAACAGTACTCCGAGACCCTCTACTCTGAGCGTACCACTCACGAAGCTGCTGGGGCATAAGGGTCTCGCGCGGACGCCGCTGCAGCTGCATCTGGCCACTACCAGAAGCTCTCGGCTGACCAGCTCCAGGGCGATTGCCACTGCGACCGCCGCCACAACCCCAACTAGCGTACCACTCACGAAGCTGCTGGGGCATGAGGGACACGCACGGACGTCGCTGGAGCTGCATCTGGCCACCGCCAGTAGCAGCAGTAGCAGCAGTAGCACCTAGGGCAGCAGCACCTAGGGCTCCATTTTTGTTTTTTTTTTATTATTATTTATTTGTTTTTGGGTTTGGCATGGCGCACTGGGCGCTGCAGAGGCGGCTCGTGGGCTGCAGGGGCAGTGCGCTGGCTGCAAGAGGCAGGCGCGCTGGCTGCAGGGGCGGTTCGCGGGCTGCAGGGGAGGCTCGCGGGCTGCAGACGGGCGGTGCGCGGGCTGCAAGGGTCTGCACGCGGGCGGCTTGCACGGGGGCCGGGCACGGGCAGGGCCGACGGGCGACGCGACGGGCTGCAGGGGCGCGCGACGCGACGGGCTGCAGGGGCGCGCGACGGGACGGGCTGCAGGGGCGCACGGCGCGGCGGGCAGCAGGGGCGCGCGACGCGACGGGCAGCAGGGGCGCTTACCAGGGGCGGGTGCAGGGCAGGGCCGCGATGGGCGGTTAGGTCAGGGCCGCAACGGGGCGGCTGTAGGGCAGGGCCGCGACGAGGCGGCGGCAAAGCAGGGCCGCGACGGGGCGGCAGCAGGGCAGGGCCGCGACGGGGCGGCGGTAGAGCAGGGCCGCGACGAGCGGCTGAGGGCAGGGCCGCGACGGGTGGCGGCTGGACAGGGCCGCGACGGGCGGCGAGGTCAGGGCTGCGACGGGCCGTTAGGGCAGGGCCTCGAGGGGCCGAGAGGGCAGGGCCGCTACGGGCGGCAGTAGGGCAGGGCGCGCGACGGCGCATGTGAGGCAGGCGCGAGGTGCGCTTCGGGCAGGGCAGGAAAAAAAACGATCGTGGTGGGCCCTTAAAAAAAACGTTCCCACTAGGGAACCTGCTCTGAAACCATGTGAAAGATAGAACGAGGAATGATTGCATTGAGCAGCATGAGGAGTACAAGTAGGAAACCCTAAAGTGTTGTACCCCATATGAACTACCCCACTACAGCCTACACAGACTATAGCATATAAGTTTGAGACAGGACTTACGAATTGCCTTAGAGACCTTTCTGGTGTGAGGTACGTGAAACGTTGGTAGACTTTGGCCGGTAGGGAGCTCCTTCTGCTACCGCCGCTTAGCCGTGAAACTCGGCCTCAGCAAAAAGTCGTCGCAATAGGTCGTTTTCTCCCCTCCTGAAGCTCGGAATCCGTTTCTCTCGCAAGACCCGTATTTGTCGCAACTCCGTTTATTGTAGCCGGTAGACCCGGCGAAATTCGCGGGTCTAGACGCTGCGCCAAACCGTTGTCCCGTCGGTGTACTGCCCTGTCTGCGGCGCAACTTCCCTTGATCAGGGGGAACCTGTGTCGCCTGAAGTACAGTGTCGGCTGCTGCTGTTGCTCCGAAAAATTCGGCCGACTTTGTTGCAGGCGCAGAAGTGACCCTAACGCGAACAGTCTAGTCGTAGGCGGCCTGTTCCGATCTTTTCGACGGATTGAAAATAACTTCCGTCCCACACTGTGCCGCTCCTGCCGAAAAAACGCCCACGACGCACCCTCCTGCAGCAACACCTGCCACACCCGGGCGGGACGACGGTAGACCCCCGCTTTCTTCGGGCAGTCGCCACGCCGCCTCTCCTCGCCGTCGGTTTTTCTGACGCAAATCACACATTGCGCCTGGCTGCTCGCACAACAGTCGTTTTCCACGTGCTGCTACCCGAAGTCTTCGCGCACAGTGACGCCACGCCACTTGCCGAAGACCTCCAGCGGGCTCATGCGCAACGTGACGAAGACACTTCAACGCCACTTGCTGCATGCTGTCCACTCCGATGTTTTCGTGCGCAGTTGACGACCACGTGAAGAATGTCAACTCGTACCACGTTGCTTCCGACAATTTCGGACGTGCGCCGACGACGAGCCTGCCGACATCAGTCGTTACACAGAAATAACTCCGAAATTGACGAAAACCAGCACAGTTAACTCACGCATTAAATGCGACGACAGCAAAAGCTGTCCACCACCCGGGGGGGAGGGAGGCCACGGTCCATCTCGACCGTCGAGGGTAAGGATCCGTCGGTGCCGCATGAGCGCCTTGAAATTCATGGCCGCTAGGAGCAACTACCCGTTCTCCTGGCCGGCTCTTGCGCTGCTCCTGTCACCACGGCATCCTTCCCTGTCCCCCCCCCGAGGGGTAAACACTCTAAAAAACGGGTGTCCTTGGAAAGTAGCTCTGATACCAAGTGTTATGAGTTGTACTAGACAGAGTGCGCGGAAGACTTTATAAAAAGGATGTCGAGTACAGAATGCCGATAATGATAAAGGAACAGGCATTTATAGGGTCGAAACCGTGCTAGGCGAGGACCTCGGGACGTGGATGGTTTGGAAGTGTCGCGATTGGTGCGGGGCGACTCGGCATTGGTTCGGTGCGGAAGTGTAGGCCGAGCCACCTGACGCGAAGTGCTCGGGCTGTACCCGTTAAGGCAAGGCTACAGTAAGGAATTGGTAAATTCCTTACATCGGAGATGTTTTGTTCACTTTGCGAAGCGAGAGCAGCAATGGATGGTAACACGCTATAGACTGTAACACAAGACAAAAAGAGTACCATGAAAAAACCTGTCATATCAAATTAACCCTGGTTTCCAGTCCAGGGAGTTCTTTCCAGCACCCCTGAAACCAGTGTTGTGAAAAAAATAACGGTATATATAAGCCCTGGTTTTGTCCACCTGTTTGTTCTCAATCAAGGATGGAATCTTGGTAGATCGATAAGGAAATCACATTCTGTGCTGGAATTGGCATAGTGGTGCTACCGTCACACATCGGATAGAGGCACATGTCTATATTAGGCGCATGCTCTTTCAAACTAAGCACTGCGCTTACAATATATCCGCACCTGGATTATAAGCGCTGGATAGAATATAGAGTTCTTTGATTTAAGCGTACATTTCTTTGTTCCCAACAGAATCATATGCCACTGTATGCGATGCCGAAGTCTGTTTGTGGATGTGGCTGTTCCGGGTCACAGTAATGAGGCGGCGTGTAAAGAGGCATCGGGTGTAGAGAATACATAGCGGCGGTTCGCGAAAATCCCGAGACTGGCAGAACAAAGGAGTTGCACGACGACAGCAGGAGCCACTCAGCCACCATCTCTCGGTAGCCGTGCTCTGCCTCCTCCCTCTCCTGCTCCTTGCCCTTGCTGCCGAACGCCTGTGAGTGACGAGGCACGAAATCCGTCTCGAGTATCTGCAGCAGTTATGGGGAACGCACGGGTGGGTTATGCAGGGTGGAGTGGAGAGGTGGGATATGTATGGGTGGGTTATGGGGAGTGGAGAGGTGGGATATGCATGGGTGGATTATGGGGAGTGGAGAGGTGGGATATGCATGGGTGGGTTATGGGGAGTGGAGAGGTGGGATATGCACGGGTGGGTTATGGGGAGTGGAGAGGTGGGATATGCATGGGTGGGTTATGGGGAGTGGAGAGGTGGGATATGCATGGGTGGGTTATGGGGAGTGGAGAGGTGGGATATGCATGGGTGGGTTATGGGGAGTGGAGAGGTGGGATATGCACGGGTGGGTTATGGGGAGTGGAGAGGTGGGATATGCATGGGTGGGTTATGGGGAGTGGAGAGGTGGGATATGCATGGGTGGGTTATGGGGAGTGGAGAGGTGGGATATGCATGGGTGGGTTATGGGGAGTGGAGAGGTGGGATCTGCATGGGTGGGTTATGGGGAGTGGAGAGGTGGGATATGCATGGGTGGGTTATGGGGAGTGGATAGGTGGGATAAGCATGGGTGGGTAATGGGGAGTGGAGAGTAGGAACGAGGAGGTAGATGGATGGGTGATTGCTGAGGAGGTTGCACTCAAGCTACAGCCAATCACAAATAAAAGTTGAGAGTAGGGGTCCTATTAGATGCACTGGTAAGAGTTGTTTAAAATATTCGACGAGAGAAAGAGAGAGTAAGAAGAACATACATGTTCTAGCCATTTTTCTTAAGATGCCCAGGAACCTCCTACAACAAGAATCGGCAAAGAGATGGGTACTCAGTCGCAAACTCTGAAAAATAGGGCACAGGTATTCACCTTGCCAGGAAAGCGGGAGCGGATGGCCGTCTTTAAGTCAATCGAGTTGGTGATGAGCATCCAGCGTACAGTGAGAGGCGGGGGATACCACATGTCCTCCACTGCCTGGCGGAGTACAAGGCGGTGAGAAAGGGAGGGTGGAGGGGGTGGGGATGGGGAAGGAAGGAGTGGTTTGAGATGATGGGGATGATGGTGAGATGATAGGCATCCAGCGCACTGTGAGAGGCGGGGGATACCACATGTCCTCCACTGCCTGGCGAGGAGAAGAGAGGAGGGTGGGATGGAGTGGGGAGAAATGGTGTTGTAGTGCTGCGACGACGATATGATGAGCATCCAAAGCACAGTGAGAGGCGGGGGTACTGCATTTCCTCCACTGCCTGAAAGGATGGGGGAGGACAGGGAGAGGGGGTAGGGAGGAAGAGTTAGGGGGAGAGGTGAGAAGCAGGGAACACCACATGTCCACTACTGCCTGGGGGACGGAGGAGGAGAGGGAGAGGGGGAGGGGAGGAAGAGTTAGGAAGGGACGTGGGGATATGTTTGAGTGAGAGGCGGGGAATACCACATGTCCTCTACTGCCTGGCGGGGACAATGGGGGAGGGGGTTGAGATGATGGTGGGATGATGGTGGGATGATGGTGGGATGATGGTGGGATGATGGTGGACGATGGCGAGACGATGTGAGATGAGTGATGTGCATTCTTGAGGCGGGGGAAACCACGTGTCCCCCACATGTGGCGCAGGCGGGATACCCCTCCTCAACTGCCTGGTGTGGTGGGGGCGCAGGGTGGAGGAGGGGGGCTGGAGGGAGGAGGGGGGAGGGTGGGAGGAGGGAGGGATGGAGGGAGAAGGAAGGGATGGAGGGAGGAGGGGGGAATGGAGGGAGAAGGGGGGGATGAAGGGAGGAGGGGGAAGGGATGTAGGGAGGAGGGGGAAGGGATGTAGGGAGGAGGGGGAAGGGATGTAGGGAGGAGGGGGAAGGGATGTAGGGAGGAGGGGGAAGGGATGTAGGGAGGAGGGGGAAGGGATGTAGGGAGGAGTGGAGTCGGAGTCCCTTGCTGCCTTACCCTCACCACTCCCTGCCTTGCCCTCACCACTCCCTGCCTTGGCCTCACCACTCCCTGCCTTGCCCTCACCACTCCCTGCCTTGGCCTCTTCACTCCCTGCCTTGGCCTCGTCACTCCCTGCCTTGGCCTCACCACTCCCTGCCTTGGCCTCGTCACTCCCTGCCTTGGCCTCACCACTCCCTGCCTTGGCCTCGTCACTCCCTGCCTTGCCCTCACACAATCCCGCATTCCCTTGCCTCTGTGGCCCTGAGTCAAAGTCGTTCTTTTCCTCTCTTGGGGTCTTTCTTCCCCTGACTCACCTTGGCACACAAGTGAGGATGGGAGCAGCGTGGGTCATGGATGGGCACAGCAAAGGAGGCGGCAGTGACGCTGGTGGTGGTGATACTGCAGCCTAGCCTAGTGACACACACTGCAGGTGAGTATTCAGGCGACACGCCACAGAAGAAGGCTCGCCTTGGCGCAGGCGAGGATGGGAGCAGCGTGCTCCATGGCAGCAGGCAGCCATGGAGGCGGGAGTGACGCTGCTGGTGGTGGCTTGGGGGTCATCACTCCCTGCCTCTCTGTTCCTGGTTCCAAGTCACAATTTCCTCGTTTAAGGTCTTTCTTCCCCTCACTCACCTTGGCACAGGCCAGAATGGGAGCAGGCTCTTCCAAGGCAGCAGTCATGGAGGTGGGAGTGACGCTGCTGGTGGTGGCGTGGGTGGGGGTCTCGCACCTCACTGTCGCTCAGCTGTGAGTCGAGTCAATCTCTAAGGCGATTTCCCTCCCCTGATCCTGTCTCACCTTGGCACACGCGAGAATGGGAGCAGCCGCCTCCAAGGCAGCAGTCATGGAGGTGGGAGTGACTCTGGTGGTGGTGGCTTGGGTGGGGGTCTCGCACCTCACTGTCGCTCAGGCTTTTGCAAGTGATGAATCAGGCGATAGACCTCAGAGACTCACTCACCTTGGCACAGGCCAATATAGGAGCAGCTTTCTCCATAGCAGCAGACATGGAAGCGGCAGTGACGCTGGTGGTGGTGGCGGGGGGGTCGCGCACCTCACTGTCGCCCAGCCGTGAGTCGATCCCTAGGGCGATTTCCCTCCCCTGATCCTATCTCACCTTGGCACAGGCGAGGATGGGAGCGGCCTGCTTCATAGCAGCAGCCATGGAGGCGGCAGTGACACTCTTGCTGGTGGCGTGCGGGTCTCGCACCACACTGTCGCTCAGCCGCACGTGCACCCCCACCACCACCGTCCGCACCTCCCGCATCTCCTGAAGTAGACGTGCCGTCAGCGGCCATACCTCCTTCCTTGGTCTGGAATCAGGGGTGAGAGGCGGTTGATAGGTGGGGGAGGGGGGGGGAAGGAGGAGAAGGAGAGGAGGGGAAAGACGGGGAAAAGGCGAAGTCATGTAATTGCTCAGCCGCATGTGCACCCCCACCACCACCGTCCGCACCTCCCGCACCTCCTGCAGCAGCCTTGCCACCAGTGGCCATATTTCCTGTCTGGGTCTGGAAGTTGAGAGGGGGAGGGAAAGAGGAGAGGAAGGGAGGAATCAGAGTGCATCTGATTGACATGCACGTAACTAGCAATGGGGTGTACGTGTATCTGACAGGCTGACAAGAAACCAGAAAAAACACCTCCATTCATTCCATTGCAAAGCATCTTAAATGCAGACGGAGAACATACCTGACAAGGAATCGGAGAGTGCATCTCAATCAGTTAAACCCATTACGAAGCATCTCAATGCAATGCAGAACGTACCTGACAAGGAATCGCAGAATGCAGCCGAAGGCGTACGGTGGGCGCAGCCCCGTCGCCCTGAACGCATCGGCCCACTCGCCCGTCCCCTTTGTAAGCATCTCCGTTACCATCCGCGGTTCCACAGCACCTTCACATGCCGAAACGCCTTGAACCTCTCCAACCCCTGCAAACCCATCCGATTCCCATTCAAATCCAGAAACGGAATCACCCCCGGCGGAAACGACTCGTTCAAATTCCTCGTGCGACGAGAAGGCTCCATGGGAACACCAGGGGACAGGCGCCAGTCGATGAATGCGGGCTCAAACGCGTACTGTATGCAGTCGTGCCAGATCACAAACGCCCGGCGGTCCAAGAGCGCAGCGACGAACGAGGAGACGAGCCCCACTAGAAAGTCCCCGAAGCCGCCGCAGTGCCCGGCTTGGTCGAACGTGAGAAAGCGAATGGAGGAATCTGGGAGGGTCCGGTTTGACAGGTTTGGGTCTGGAACTGCTGCGGCTGCGGCTGTTGGTGCGAGAGAGAGCAATCGGCGGGAGGAGGGAGGGGGAGGGGGAGAGGGAGGGGGGGTGTAGGCGGCGGCGCTGGCTGTGCGAATGGCGGAGTGCAGGCGGAGGTAGTCGTCCCGCCATGCCGTGCCACAGAGCGAGTCCGAATACTCAAAGTCCACGTGGGCCGGGGACGAATCTGTACTCGCTATAGTCAGACGCGACTGAAGCACCTGCGAGGAAGCAGGGGAAGCAGGGGAAGAAGGGGAGGGAGGGAGGGACGGAGAGCGAGGGAGGAAGGAGGGGGTTTGTCGACAAGGAGGATGGAGGAGGAGAGAAGCACTGGCGATGGCGGAGTGCAGGCGGATGTAGTCGTCCCTCACTATAGTCACACGCGACTGGAGCACCTGGGTGGGAGGAGAGGAGGGTCGGAAGGGATTCGGTTGAGGGATTGAGGGCTGGATGGCGGGGACGAACCATGTGTGAGACGGAAACGCGGGGAAGGAAGAGAGCAGGGAGCAGTGCGTAGAGCGTCAGGCTTACGGCAGGGTCACACACGGTTTAGCAACAACCATGCGTTGAGCGGCATCCCACAGACTTCTGTTGAGCGACAAAGCGACAGCGGATGGAGGGACTGGACTACCACGGAAGAGTAAAAAAGGCGAGAATGGGGATGGGAATCTGGGGACGAAGAGCATACAGGGGAAAGCGCCAGCATCAGTGCTGCTGCCGCCAGTTCTGCTAGCGATCTACTGCGAGAACTCGGCGCCATCGTGGTAAGAGATCTCGCAGTACTTCAGCAATGAGAGAACTTCGCCGGTTGCGAAGCTGATCGCCAGTCGAGAAGCTGATCGCTATCACCCGCGGCGCTGACCTGACTGGCTAGTTCTGCTAAACTACTTTGTCATCTCAACTTGAAAAGGCGGAAACTGCGAGGAAGCGAAAGGAGATGGAAAAAACCAGACTGTGAAACAGACATGCACCAGGTAACACGTCTCACAGCTAGGTATGCGAAGAGTTACGGTCACCAACGGAGCTCCTTGAATCAGAACCGTTGCAACACTTCTGTGCAGAGAAGACGATTGACAACCCGGGTTCGGAAGCGGAGCTCTGTCAGCAGGACGACGCGAGCTACGAGAACACCAGCCAGGTGCCACACTCCTTGAGACGATTCCGTTGAAAGGAGAAAAGAGGCCTCAGTGCGACAAACTCCCGCACAAGGGGGATCGATCAAAGAGCTCGCGGGAGGAGGATCTCACGCATCTGAGGCGATGGATGGGGCAGACAGGAGCGAGAGAGAAGTTGGCGCGGTGGTGGTACAGGACGAACTGAATTGTCGTATTGGCGTGGAGCGGGAGCGGGACGCTTCGCTCCGCCGCCAAGCGTGGAAATGGTCAACTCTGGATGGGAGATGTGAGATGCCAATGCGACGCGATGACATCGAGACAAGACGATGGAAATGGTAAAATGGATGGCAGGGCTCGGCGTGGGGAGTCCCTCGCTGGGTTCGGCGCCGAAAAGGTGCTCGCGCGCGGGAATCCCGACGGTGGTTGCATCGCTAGGCGACGTTGGAAGTACACACGGTGACACGGGCGCCGACGGTTGGAGGCCCATTCCGTTGGCGTATAACCCAGCGGAAGGGGTGCCATGGACACCAGCGGTTGGAGAGGCAAGCTAAGTGGTTCACTTTGCCACACAGGCCGACGAGTGTGATGTCAAGAGGAAGCAGAAGCCCCTATTTTGGGGTTTCCGTCAGGGTACACTTGATGCCCAACTTATGGCGAAAGGCCACGGAAAAGGTGTTTTCCTTTCACTTATCCACCAGCCCAGCACAGATTGTAACGAGTACAGACGTGACAGTGGAATTATCTGCGAAAGTGTATCGCGTGGAAGCCTCGATCAGCTTTCTGCGACAGTGGGAATTGACGTCTGCCGTGCCGTGCAGAGCCGACGCAGGAAAGTTGAGATTGGCGGAGCGAGACCAATCAGAGCACATTGCCACGCCACACTCAGACTGATTTTTCGCCATGTCACTGTCACCGAGCAACTGACAGGATTCACAGAGCCGAAAATGACCTCCGGCAAAGGCTCTGTGCACCCTTCGCTGACCTTCGTCGGTTGCTTCCGACGACACGGACAGTCTCGACGATGACGACCAGTGTGGGGTCAACCGAGACAAACAGCACGAATCGCTGATTGGCAGGAGGCGTAGCCTGCAATTCGCCCAACCACGACGACTGTCTTGGCATTCGCGGACGGGGAAAGGAAAGGCGCGAGCGTGAGCCAGAAGCAACCAGAAGCGTCGCAATCTGCGAGTGAGTCGAGGCGGTTCGTTCTGGAAAACTCGGGAATTCTCGCCGTCACGCTCACGCCAGTCTCATGATGGCTGTTCTATAAATATGCAGCAATTCGGAACTAAGCACAACCATTGGTATCCCAAATCCGCATCTGGTTGATTCATAGCATTCGCAGCTCGAACTCACAGTACGAAGTCATCTGCGGCATCTTACTGTTATTTACAATCGCGACTGGACTTCCAAATATTGGGCACCGTAGTCGCTATCTCCCGCTTCCTTTTAAGCAGCTCTTTTATACGATAAGCCATAATGGCCTACTACTCTCTTCAAGCACCGACAAGCCACAGCAGCGTGCGTGAAACTCGCAAGTCTCATACCGTAAGGTCGCAGAGGAAGCAGCAACAGCAGTCCGACGCCTCGTCGCAGCCTGAAGCGCAGATGCGATGGGTCGACCAAGCCCAGGATCTCTGCTCATCGCCCATGTCACCGACGTCGCCGTTGTCGCCGTCGTCGCATGATCAAGTCCTCCCGTTCCAAACAGCCCGCCTCGAATCATTCTTTTCGTTAGACGCTCACGTCTTAGGATCTGGTCAATTCGGGACAGTGCGACGCTGCACCGAACGGCTCACAGGCGCGCGCTTCGCGTGCAAGACAATCACCAAGGACAGGCTTACAAGCGAGGCGGAGCGGGAGGAGGTGCGGCGGGAAGTTGCTCTGATGCAGCGGGTTGGCGCAAGCGGAGCGGGGGAGGCGCAGGGGGTGGCGCATCCCGGGGTGGTACAGTTGCGCGGAGTTTTCGAGGACGAGCAATCGGTGCATTTGGTCATGGATCTTTGCGAAGGCGGCGAGCTGTTCGACGAAGTCGTGCGACGCGGGCGACTGAGCGAACCCGACGCTGCGAACGTGTTCGCGCAGGTCGCATCGGCCGTCGCACACTGCCACGCGCGAGGCGTCCTCCACCGCGATCTCAAGCCCGAAAACATCCTGCTCACGCGCGACGCCTCTGCACCGCTCTCCACCGCACCACTAACCACGAAACTCGCGGATTTCGGCCTCGCAGTTCCCCTGCAATCAGGCGATCGCGCGATGGGCGTCGCAGGATCACCGTTCTACATGGCTCCTGAGGTCCTCCTAGGCGAATACGCGTTAGAAGCCGACGTATGGTCTCTGGGCGTGATCCTGTACATCTTGCTCTGCGGCGCGCCGCCTTTCTGGGGCCCGACGGATAAGGACGTGTTTGTAGAAGTTCTTAAAGGCGTGGTGGATTTTAGTGGCGAGGAGTGGGCGGGAGTGTCGGAGGAAGCCAAGCGGATCGTGCTGTGCCTCCTGCAGAGGGACCCCAAGCGACGCCCCGCTGCCGTGAAAATCCTCTCCCATCCCTGGATCCTCCAGCATTGCCACGCCAGCGTGGCAGGTTCGGAGACAGGCTCAGCTTCAGGTTCGGGTTACCCGTTGGCTCTGGGTGCAGGCTCGGATTTGAGGGCAGGCGTGGAGGCACCTGCTGCCATGGTGGTGTGAGATCAGATGTGACAACCTAATTTATTCTTGTAGCTACTTCAGGTGTGCGTTTGTTGCCGGAATTCCTCACCTCACTTGGCCCGGCAATCACCCTAAGCATGCTTGCTTGCTATGCATGCTAGTGTACAACGTTGGTTTGGTGGCTTGTATAATCAGGCTTGTTGAGTTACTTGCTTAGCTGGTGCTGCTAGCTCTGACTACGATGTTTTCTGGTACGGAAATTGTATTTTGACTAAAATGGGTTATGCAAGTTCAGAGGCCTACCCATCTCTCACAAGGACACACTCGGGAAGTATAAAGGGCATAAAAAACTTATCTTCTGAAAGCTTGTTGTAAGGCGATCATGTTGTATCTCGCAATCAATATCGAGGATAGACCGAAATGACTGGCACAGTCCTACCTCCCTCCCTCCTGTCCTCCTTCCCGTTGTCGTTCTTCCACCCAAGCGATTCGGCGTGTACAAGTTTGGATGACCTGACAACGAGCAGTGTACGGAGGGAACATGTGTTTCTCAAATCATGTGCGAAAACTCTGCCACGCTGGACTATTCCGTGCACTTTTCATGTCCACGCGGCATCCCAGGCACACGACCCTAGTCAGATGCTTCCCTCACGAAATCGAAGGTGTTTCGTGAAAGCGCGTGCCTATATTCCCGGCTGTATTCATCCGCGTCACGATACTGTACTGTAACTGTACCTGTACGTGCACCGCAGTTCAGGCGGGTTGGCCATGGCAAACCCTAGCAGCGGCGATCGACGGGCGTGTGGCACACAAGGAAACGCAGGTTTTCGCAGACGCGGCAAAAATGATCCGAAACGAAATAAGAGAGACAGTGCGCCGCGCCACTCCCCGCCGTGCTTCGCCGTCCAAAGGGTTTGCAGATCGTAGTAACCTGTTCGGGTCGGGACGGTACCGACTTCAATCATGTTAGTACCGTTATCTGCACGGCGTCGTCCAATGTCAGCCTACGCATGTTTGTACCGCGCGACACGAGAGCTTACTATCAGAAAAAAGTGCTTCCGGCAGAGCCTTAGGCTTAGTAACAGACTGATCTACACTGCCGCTAAAAAATATGGTCCCTATTTGGTCTGTTAGCCCTTCGCTCCCGCTCCTAGTACTCCTCCTCCTCATAGATTCCTCGTCCCCTCCCCACAGGCCTTTCTCAGCCACCCGCGCCGCTACCATCGGTGCGCAGTTACCACCTGCCTCAGTTCCGCCCGTGACCAGGAACCGCGACTCGAACAGGACCAGTGTCTACACTCCGCTGCCCCGCGCGTGGCACCCGCCGTTGATCCTCTCCTTTACCCATGAAGCAGTGCAGTCGCCGTGTCAGCGCCACGTCTTCGGGCGGACGGGGCGGCCCGTAGAAGCGGCGAAAGTTTTTCCGCAGTCTGCGGTTGGGGGGGCGCCGGAGTCAGCCGCGCGCGGGCGCTCCCCGCCAGCGGCGCCGACGAGGGCGAGTGCGACGCAGAGTGGATGCTGCTGTGGCCGGCGCGACAGGGATGCTGGCGGCCGCATCCCAAAATGTGTGAGGTCAGGGTGGCATGTTTTTTAGGGCTTGCGAGAGAGTAACTTTCAAGAACTTACCTGCAGGTGGCTTTTCTGGGTTCGCGGCTCGGGATTCGACCGGCTGCATCGTCATGGAAGTTTCGATGCGACCCTGCGAGCGATTCTATTGGTTGAAAATTTTCGAACTAGTTTGTGAAACTTCCTCGACACCATTCACGCGATTTTCATTGGTCCTTCGATTCGAACTAACTCCTCTGTAAGAGTCGGTTTGAAATACATCTTCCAAGAAGCAGCGGGTGGCGAAGGTTTGGAGCTAAGCCAGACCAACTTGACCCGCACAAGAGCATTTCCGTTCCAGTGCACATTGAATGTATTGTTATGAAGAGTTTGATGTTATGAGCCTTAATATTCTAAACAGCTTTTATTCTTTAGACATCCATTGTAGTTCAATAGTAGTTTGATTTCCATGTACGGTATAAGTAAAGCAGTTGAACTCTCTTATCTTGATTGTTGTGATCGGTGGGAAGTTGTAGTCACTAAATGTTTATGTAAGTTCATACAAGGACGTCGCATGATGTAGTTTCAACGTTGCGTTGTTGTTGTTGTTGTTGTTGTTGTTGTTGTTGTTGTTGTTGTTGTTGTTGTTGTTGTTGTTGTTGTTGTTGTTGTTGTTGTTGTTGTTGTTGTTGTTGTTGTTGTTGTTGTTGTTGTTGTTGTTTTTTTTTCGTTTTTTTTCTAAGTTTCTTCACTACTTTTTTTTGCTTAATGATACCAGAAAGCCATCAACACAATTTGGTGCCATTCGCACGACACGGGAACGAGTGACGCTGTATTGAACGTCAAATGAGGTGAAACCGTACGAGTTCATACATAGGCGTCGTATTCTTCTGTTTCAACGCTGCGTTCATAACGTTTATTCACACCATTAAGTCATGATACCAGAAAGCCATCAACAAAATTTGGTGTCATTCGTACGACACACGAGCGAGTGACGTGGTGTTGCTGTTGTAGTTGTTGTTTCTGATGTTGTTGTTGTTGCTGTTGTTGCTGTTGTTGATGCTGTTGTTGTTGCTATTTTCGTTTCTATTGATGTTGTAGTTACTGTTGCTGCTGTCGTTGCTGTTGCTGTTGCTGTTGTCGTTGCTGTTGCTGTTGTCGTTGCAGTTGTCGTTGTTGTTGCTGCTGTTGTCACTGTTGTTGTTGTCATTGTTGTTGTCGTCGTCGTCGTTGTTGCTGTCGTCGTCGTCGTCGTTGTTGCTGTCGTCGTCGTCGTCGTCGTCGTTGTCGTTGTTGTTGTTGTCGTTGTTGTTGTTGTCGTTGTCGTTGTCGTTGTTGTCGTTGTCGTTGTCCTCGTTGTCGTTGTACTCGTTGTCGTTGTTGTTGTTGTTGTCGTCGTCGTGGATGTGGTGGTGGTCGTCGTCGTCGTCGTCGGCGTCGTCATCGTCGTCGTCGTCATCGTCGTCGTCGTCGTCGTCGTCGTTGTTGTTGTTGTTGTTGTTGTTGTTGTTGTTGTTGTCGTCGTGGCTATAGTTGTTGTCGTCGTGGCTGTAGTTGTTGTCGTCGTGGCTGTTGTTGTTGCCGTTGTCGTCGTTGTCGTCGTTGTTGTTGTCGTCGTTGTCGTTGTTGTCGTTGTCATTGTGTCGTTGTTGTTGTTTGTGTCGTTGTCGTTGTTGTCGTTGTCGTTGTCGTCGTTGTCGTTGTCGTCGTTGCTGTTGTCGTTGTCGTTGTCGTTCTTGTCGTTGTCGTTGTCGTTCTTGTCGTTGTCGTTGTCGTTGTCGTTGTCGTTGTCATTTACGTTTTCGTCGTTGTCGTTGTCGTCGTCGTCGTTGTCGGCGTCATCGTTGTCGTTCTTGTCGTTGTCGTTCTTGTCGTTGTCGTTGTCGTTGTCGTCGTTGTCGTTGTCGCTGCTATCGCTGTCGCTGTCTCTTTGGTGATTTGTTTTGATTTGTTTTGCGAGGTTTCTTCACACCACTGAGTCGTGATACAAGGAAGCTATGAACCCAATTTGGTGCCATTCGCACAACACGGGAACGAATGACGTTGTTTTGAACGTCGAACAAGGTGAACCCGCACGAGTTCATCCCGAAGACAACAGCCAACATGACGCGTGACAGTGCATGTCGGGCCAATCGTCTGCGAGCACCTGCCAGCGTGCGCGCTGCTGTCATCTACGTGTGCAACGCTAAACGGCCGCTTTGCTGCAACGTTGGCACGTCGTCGCCCTGCTCTGTTGGCAGGTCGCCTTTTCGCAGCGCTGGCGCGGCTCTTCTACGCAACGCTGGCATGCTGTCGACCATGCTGCGCTGGCGGTCGACCAGCTGCCTTGCTAGGTTGCTAGGCTTTGATGTACTCAATCTTGTCATTCTTTTTGCTATCATTCTATAATGCAACTTTCCCTAGTGAAACTCTTGCCAAATTGCTATGTGAACACACAAGTGCTAGAGAACGCTAAGGAACGCTACGATCACTCCTAGATTCCATGCCTTCCCCTGTAGTCCAGCTTCCGGTGCAGAGTGACTCTCCGCACTGCACCCTATCACGTGCGCTGCAACCTTGCACCTGCGCAATGTGCTTTAAGTGCACGACATGCACGCACCCGTCAGTTGTGCAGACCTGCACCTACTTGGTAGGTGACGCACATATGCGCACATGGTCACCTGCGACTGCAGTGCTGGGAGGCCGCCGTAGTGCAACGCTGGCAAGCCGCCTTGCTGCAGCGTTGGCACGCAGCCTTCCAGTCGCGCTGGCAAGTCGCCTTCCAGCTGCGCTGTTGTAAGTTGTTCTTGCTATTTCGACTTCACATTGCTATTGTATTATTGTTGTCCTCTATGCTGTCGATAATGTCACCAACATCGTCAGATATGCACATTTCTCAATCAATCAAGTTCAAGTGGACCAAAGGACCTGATATATTAATATGAATTTGTTGAGTATATATCCCGGTGCCCTAGAGAAAATAAGGCTAAAATACAATAAATAAACAAAATCCAAACCAATGAAATTATAAATGCTAGGCATAAATTGTGCCGTATGATCTCCTTGATGCCTCAAATGTATTTGTTTCTTAATGTGCATACCGTCAATATGAATCGACCCACTTGTGCAGAATTTATATGTGCTGTTATTCCTTGATACTTTTAAAAGGTTTGATATTGCGCAGAGACATAGTCGAGCATATGCTGTAACACCTCGACTTGGGTGAACCAGGGTGGTGTCAGTCAGGTGGGGGAACAGAGATGCGCAGGTGGTCCACACGTCTGGGAAAGTTTGTCGCTGATGGGATGGTTGGACCGATTGTCGGTGGTTGTACAGCTGGCTTCCAGCAACAAAAAAGTTCGGGTCTGTACAGCAAGCGTGACGGGTCCAAAATTTTGTTTCCAACCAGTAAATGCGCTGTGCAGGTAGTCGTCGCCTGGGTAGAATGTTAGGAGTACTGGTTCGTCCGAATTTATGTTTTGTTTGCTTAGTCATTTTGAATGACAGTTCTCTTA